GTATCGCATCATCATCAGGTCCTTTGGTCTGGTTCCAGGAGTTCGAGTATGCAATAGGGCACTGGCTGCAGAAGGCAACGGAGCACGTGATGGGATGCATCCTGTGCACGCCCGGATGTTTCAGTTTGTTCCGGGGATCCGCCATCATGGACGAGAATGTCATGAGGAGTTACACCATGCTGGCTGTGGATCCTCTACAACACTTGCAGTATGATCAAGGTTTCAAAAAAATTGAGATGTTTTAAATTTGTGCCAATAATTTTTTCGTTTGCGAATAAGTTATGTTGAGTTTTATTTAGCTCACTCCATTAGTACATTTACCACTTTTCTGAGATTTGAACGGTTTTGAATAGTGAGCTGAAAGTTTCTAAACGACTGAGTTAATTTTGATCAATTTCAAAATTCAAAAAGTGTGGCGAAATGTTCTCATTTGAATCATCACACATAAACTTCAACAATTTTTAAATTATATCTAACAACTTTTCAATTTCGAAAACCAAGGCGAAGATAACTGGCTCTGCACCCTGCTACTCCAGCAGGGCTACAAAGTGGAGTACTGCGCCGCTTCTGACAGCTACACTTACTGTCCGGAAGGTCTGACCGAATTTTTCAACCAGCGGAAACGATGGATGCCTTCGAAGATGACCAACATGTTGGATCTGCTTCGATCCTGGAAACACACGACCTACATTAACGAGAACATCAGCTTCATGTACCTCTTCTATCAGGCGGCCATCCAGGTAGCATCACTTCTCAGTCCTGGAATCGTCTTCATGGTGACAGTCGGTGCCCTCAACATCTCGGTCCAGAGTTTCAGCCAGTCCTTCAACGTCTGGGGCATGGCTGCTCTGAACGCCCTCCCCATCATTCTCTTCGTCGTTGTGTGCATGAAGTTTCCAACCAACATTCAGGTAATTTTGAGATTTAGAATTTTTAAATTTTACATTGCATGTCCAAATAATTTTTAGCTGAAACTGAAAACGCAAATATATAAGATTTTTAAATTCATTTCAATAAATATTTTCAATTAAACCAGAAAACGTGAATATAAAATTGAAATAATTATGTACGGTAACTGAACAATAATAATTTTTAAATGTTCAGATATTGTTCGCCGGGATCCTGGGAGCGTTGTACATCCTGCTGCAGCTGCTGGTGCTGGTTGGAACCGCAGTCATCATGTACGACAACTACGTCTGCCACATAACAACCGTCTTCTTCGTCAGCCTTGTCGCCATCTTCCTGCTATCCGCCCTACTACATCCGCAAGAATTCAACTGCATCATCAAAGGGATCATTTATTACATATCCATTCCGACAATGTACATGGTGCTGATGATTTATGTGGTTATGAATTTACACCTGGTTAGTTGGGGAACGAGAGAAGTCAAGAAGTCGGAAGCTGAGTTGAAGCGGGAGGAATTGTTGAGGAAGGCTGCTGAGTTGAAACGTTTGGAAGAGGAAGCGAAAAAGAAAGGCATCGTAATCAATATTTTAGATCAATTCAAAAACCAGAAAGATTTATTCAAGTATACCAGAGATGGTTTCAAGTAAGCTTGAATTTATCAATTTATTCCAGAAAAATGATTCCGTCTTAAAATCGACAAAATTTATGAAAATATTTCAGCTGCGGAGGCATGTGCAAATTGCTCTGCTGCCACAAACCCGACCGCCAGTTGTTCAGAAACATGGTAGAAACATTGAACACCAGAGTGAAAGAGTTAGAAAATGATATAAAACCTGAGGACCAGTTGGACTGCGAGGATTACGTATCAGGAAGACCACTCTCAATATTAAGCAAGAGGCAATCTCTCTTTTTTGATCGGACAAACGGAACTGGTGAGAATGACTAATTAATAAAAATATCTTACAAAAAATTTTTATTTCACTAATTTTAATTATTTAAATTTCACTCCAACTAGTGTTTGGCGACGAAGACCAACCATCGAGAAAATCTTCTCGAAAACTGAAGAGAAGTGTTTCAAACTCCGGCCTGGCTGATGTTCCCGACTACTCAGACGACTCAGACGACGCCCCTGACTACAGTGATGAAGACGATGATGAATACGATGGCGACTACGATCCCGTGGTGAAGAAGAAACGAAGAAACGAATTAAAAGATCCAAGTTGGATCGATGATGAAAGACTTGGCGATGGAAAGATTAAATTTTTGGAAAAAAACGAATCACGTTTTTTTAAAGTTTGTATTTTAATTTTTGCTTTATATTAACTAAATATTCAACAATATGATTATACAATATGTACAAAAAATCGATCACAAATCAACTTGATACCTTTCAGGATTTGATAAAAATGTACCTAAAGCCTCTTGTCAAAGACAAAGCAACTGAAGAAAGGTACGCAAATGAGCTCAGAAGACTTAGGAACAAAGTAAAAAAAATAACTTTCATTGAAAGAAAACTTATAAAAAAAAATTAAAATAAAAATTTTGAAATGTGAAGGTATCTTTTGGGTTTTTGTTCTCCAACACGGCCTTCGTCCTAACGGCATTTATACTTCAATTCAACGTCGATAGCGTCTACATTCCCTGGCCGTGTCCCACAAAGCTGCTGACAACGAATTCATCTACTTCAAAAATTGATCCACTGAGTTTCTTTTTCCTAATTTTGTTCGGTGGCTGTTTGATAGTGCAAGTGGTCGCGATGATTGTGCACAGATTCAACACCTTCCTTCACTTCATGTCAGTCACCAAATTGAACTTCTTCAGAGAGGAAGACCCAACTGTCACCCCACATGTCATGGTTGAAGTGGCCAAGCAGATGGGAACCTTGGAAGAGCCGGATTATTCGGATGATGTCGATTACGAAGATGATTACGACGACGAAGTCAGAAAACCCAGCATGCCCAAGTCAATTACGAAAACAGTAAAAATGGTGGCTAAAAAGGGTACAATAACTGGAGCGTTTTTGAAAAGGTTAGAAGAGCTTGAATCGAACGGCCGAGGTTACAATGACGAGGACTTCATCAATAATTTGAAAACACATCGCGGACTGAACGAGGCTGTAAAAGATCCAAAGACGAGATTGGCACTGGTGACCATGAGACAAAAAATGACGATGGCACGTAAGAAACTCACAACTTCACCGGATCAATCGGTGTTCGCCGGTAAAATACCATTTGAAAGTGCGAAATCGAACTACAATCAAAAAAGAAAGAGTGGAAAAATAAACGACAGCCAGCCAAGAAGGCAATCTCGATACAAAACTCATCGCGAATATTTAGAAGCAAGTGTGTGAGGTTTGATGGACGCTCGCCTCATCCAATATGAATGTAATAAAAATTCCGACAAACTGGCATAATAAAATAAGTCCAGGCAATCTATAAAAAACTTTTGATATGTCATTTTCAATTTGTATATAATTTTTTTATTATTTATTAACATTGATTTTTGTGACAAAAATAGAACAATTTCAACCACGGTATTTTAAATCGGCGTTATCCTTACGTATTCTTTCAATTGGCAACGCAAAAATATATGAGAGATTTATTGGGTGAATTATTTCATTTTGTAATTGTAAGTCATATTCTGTATGTTTGTATGTGTGTATGAGACTGACTCCAGAACATAATAAAATGATTTCATAAAATATCGTGGTCTCTATTCCTTGATTATATATATATATATATATATATATATATATATATATATATATATATATATATATAGAATGATTATGTATATGGCCTTGGACCTTGGTGAACTAAACATTTGTGAGTCTAATCTTCTATGTGTATGGTCTTCCTCTCATTTTTTTAAATTCATCCAATTTAAATCGCAGTTCACTTTTTATTTGTAAACAACAAAATTACCGAATTAACGAATTCTGCACTTTTTTAACGTTATTAAACCTTTAAATTAAATAATTTCTGACAATTGTCTTAAATATTTTTAAAAAATTATAACAAAATTATAACAAATATAAAATTATGAAACTAAGAGCGAGATACGGAGGTCAGAAGTCTCTGGTCGAGATTGATGATGAATCTGCTACAGTTGAGAATTTAAAAAGGCAGCTCAATACATTGTTCAACATCTGCGCTGCTTCTGATTAGTTAGTGAAAGAAAATTATTTTTAATTATTTTATTTCAAAATGAAGTAGATTCAGAATTTTAAATAATAATTAAATATTTAAGAATTTGAGAACAGTACCTAGGTTTTTATATATTTAATAATTAAATTAATTTTTTAATAATATAATAAATAAAATATATAAATTATAAATAACTAATTTTTATATATTTATTCATTAATATATATAGTAATTATTTAATTTAATATAGCTTTAATAGATATTTATTAATTTATTTTTTAGTTATGTATGTACTTAATTAATAGATTTATTTATTAATACTTCATTCATAATTAGAAAATGATATATAAATATAAAATGTTATGATATAAAAGTAGATCTAACTTATTTATTTGATTATCAATTAAATTCACTTTTAATTCAATTTAATATATTAAAAATATACATAGCTCGACCATTCACCTGAGTTTAAATGGATCAGATGTCCTAAAAGTAGAAAACACAGATTCCCTAACCAGCCTAAAAGATCTGGGCCTTGTCAGTGGGGACGCCATTTACGTCATCGTCACGCAGCAGCCATCTTGTGGTAGTGGTGGCGGTGGTGGTAGTAATGATACAGGGAAGAGTTTTGATAATGATGTTGAAATGAGGTGGAATTCGGATTATTTAAATTAAATAATTTTGTTATTTTTTTTCCTCTGTGAGATGTTGTCTTTGTTGTCCACGATGATGATGTTGTTGTTCACGATGATGATGTTGTTGTTCACGATGATGATGTTGTTGTCCACGATGATGATGTTGTTGTTCACGATGATGATGTTGTTGTCCACGATGATGATGTTGTTGTTCACGATGATGATGTTGTTGTTCACGATGATGATGTTGTTGTTCACGATGATGATGTTGTTGTCCACGATGATGATGTTGTTGTCCACGATGATGATGTTGTTGTTCACGATGATGATGTTGTTGTTCACGATGATGATGTTGTTGTCCACGATGATGATGTTGTTGTCCACGATGATGATGTTGTTGTTCACGATGATGATGTTGTTGTTCACGATGATGATGTTGTTGTCCACGATGATGATGTTGTTGTTCACGATGATGATGTTGTTGATAATGATGACGACGACAATGATGACGATGATGGTGATACCATAAAATGTTGTTTAAATAATAATGATGATGATGATGATGATGATAGAAGAAGTGATGGTGATGAATATGTTAATGATCCCATGATTATTTAGTTAATTAGATGCTCTAAATGTTCTGCATTGAATGTAATAAGGGGTGATGAATTAAGATGACAAGGACGACGACGAGGAGGATGATGCATTAATGATGATGCATTAATGATGATGCATTAATGGTGATGCATTAATGATGATGCATTAATGAGGAGGCATTAGTGAGGATGGCATGACAGTATTAGCAATCTTATTGATGTCTTTGTCAGAGAAACCGCTGAGAACAAATCAGACCAACTGTTCAGCCTGATGTTTCAACCTGATAACACCACCACAACAACGTCACATCAACATCCACAACAACAACCACAACTTCAACAACAACAACAACCAAAACAACAACAACAACATCAACAAAACATCAACAAAACACCTTTGTTACTAAGAGAATCAACGGAAAATAATTTGCCAATGTCGTTGTTGAATGTGTGGCAGCAGCAACAACAGCAGCTACAGCAACAGCAGCAGCAACTATCGTCATCGTCATCAGGAACAACAACTTCAACAGTTCGTTCTATTTCTATACTCCTGCATGTTTTGTTGACTGAAAAGGGCTTTGAAAAGATTGAAACTCAGGTTTGTATCTGTGCGTGTGTTTGCGTGTGTGTGTGCGTGTATGTGTGCCCGCGTGTGTGTATTTGTGTGTGCGTGCCGTATGTGTGTGTGTGTGTGTGTGTGTGTGTATATGTATGTATGTTTCTACGAATGAATGAACGCATGAAGGAATCTTTAGATAGATGGATGGATGGATGGATGGATGGATGGATGAATGGGTGGATGGATGGATGGATGGATGGATGGATGGATAAATGAATGAATGAATTAATGATTAATAGATGCTTTGGGTGTATGTATAAAAACCAAATGTGTGGATGGATGATTGAATGAATGAAGCAGTGAATGAATGAAGGAGTGAATGATTGAATGAATGAATGAGTTAATGAACGAACGAAGGAATGTATTTCTCCACTACAAGATACCCCAACAGCCAGATGATGATGATATCATTGAGATAGTTTATCGTTATCGAAATGTTCAAGAGTCCACATTTCATCTCGTTGTACTTAGTGTAGTGAGCAACATCATGGTTTACTGTACGTTTGTTTGTTTGTTGTTTGTTTGTTGTTTGTTTGTTTGTTTCTGATGTTGTTGTCGTTGTTGTTTGTTGGTATTGTTTGTTGACTGATCGATTGATTGATTGATTGATTGATTGATTGGTTGATTGGTTGATTGATTGATTGATCGATCGATCGATCGATCGATCGATCGATCGATCAATCAACATTGAATCAGATCAATCAACATTGAATCAGTCATCAATCCTTCTTGATCCAAAAGAAGGATTGATTGATTGATTGATTGATTGATTGATTGATTGATTGATTGATTGATTGATTGATTGATTGATTGATTGATTGATTGATTGATTGATTGATTGATTGATTGATTGATTGATTGATTGATTGATTGATTGATTGATTGATTGATCGATCGATTGATCGATTGGTTGGTTGATTGCAGTCATGGTGAAGAGTTCAGTTGATCGATCAATGTTGATTGATCGATCGATTGATCGATTGGTTGGTTGATTGCAGTCATGGTGAAGAGTTCAGTTGATCCAAAAGAAGGATTGATTGATTGATTGATTGATTGATTGATTGATTGATTGATTGATTGATTGATTGATTGATTGATTGATTGATTGATTGATTGATTGATTGATTGATTGATTGATTGATTGATTGATTGATTGATTGATTGATCGATCGATTGATCGATTGGTTGGTTGATTGCAGTCATGGTGAAGAGTTCAGTTGATCCAATCATCCACAAGGAATCATTGAACCTGGATGCCTCACAATACGTCAATGCTGGAGCCAGTGGTAATGATGATGATGGTGATAATGGTGATGATGATGATGATGTTAACGATGATGATAGAGAAGTTCTTGATAATGATTGTGCATAAATTTTTTTCACTAGGGATTCAAAACATGTACAAGGTTAGGAATTTCTGTCATTTATCTGACTCGTTCTATCAGTCCATCATTCATCCAGCTCTGCAGCACATGCTGAAAGGTTGCAAGCATCGTATATTCGTCATTATTAATTAATTTATTTATTTATTCCGGAATTGATTTATGTTAATTTATGCTAATGTACGTTACATATTTAACGTACGTTACATATTTGGCTACGACTATATTATGTTATGTTAATGTATGCATTTTGGAATTAATTTATGTTAATGTAGGTTATTGTATTTTGCTTGCGTCCGCATCACAGGGCGTACATGCATTCGATCCTGGTCATTGCGTGGTAGCAAGCCTGACCACAATGGTCAGTTACGGCATACTTACCGTTTGGGCTACCAGCTGTTTCGTGAAGATGATGTTTGTGTGTACTTTTATGGTTTTTTTTCCAAATTTGTAGTTCACGGCTATAAAGCTCTGGCTGATTTAACGACTTTGCCGACACTCATTAAGGTTGGCTGACTGGTTGGTTGGTTGACTGGTTGGCTGGTTGGTTGACTGGTTGGTTAGTTGATTGAATGATTGGTTGAATTAATGAATGAATGATTGACTGACTGACCGACTGAATAAATGAATGAACGAATGATTGCCAGAGCAAACTGTTGAGAATGTTGGATCTGAGAAGTCTGCTGCATCTCTCGCAAGTCAACAAGCAGTGGTACGATGACGTCAACAACAACAACGAACTCTGGTGGGGACTCTTTAGCAGACATTTCGGCGGGCTGGAAGAAGACGATGGTAATGATCATCATTGGCGGTGATGATGATGTTGTGGTGATGAGGGTGATGATGATGGTGGTGGTGATGAGGCTGAGGGTGATGATGATGATGATGATGGTGGTGGTGGTGAGTATGATGATGTTGTGGTGATTTTAAATTGTATCATTTATAATTAATGATAATTATGAACCGCTTAATTTTTTTCTCCACAGCTGACATCATCCGTGCGTTGGACTGGCGAGAGGTAGGACATAATTATCATAATGACGTCATCATCATCATCACCATCATCGTCGATATCATCATCAAAATTTATATCATCATCATTAACGCAGCAATTCAAACAAGCGTTTATCCAACGAAAAGAAGAAGAGAGAGTGAGAAAGGAGAGAGAGAACCTAAGGAAAATAAAGGAGTTCATCCCGCGCAACCCCCTCCCATTTCCTTTTCCCCTGGAACGTCCCGGTCATTATCACGGATTTCCTGGGATAATAGGAGGTGCCTACGACATGCAGCCAGATTTCGGTGAGTGAGTGCGTGAGAAAGGGAGTGAGTGAGTGAGTGAGTGAGTGAGTGAGTGAGTGAGGGAGTGAGGGAGTAAGTGAGTGACATCATCATCATCTACATCATCATCAACAACATCATCATCATCATCAACATCATCATCACCATCATCATCATCATCATCAACATCATCATCATCATCACTAACAACAACATCATCATCATCAATAGCCTCTGTACCACCGTCTGGCTTTCCTATTAGATACGGCTACAGTTCTTCTCATTTCGCCCCACCTCAACCACAACAACCACAAGGACGCCATGATGCTGACGCAGACGACGGCTTCAACGGTGGTTTCGCGCCAAGATTTTTGGGCGATAGAAGATTCTTCGAAAGCCGCGGTGGTCGTGGTGGGGGCAGTTTTTTTGGGGGGTTTGGCGGGCCCAGATATTACTAATTTGCACTTTGGGGGAAGGTATTTCGCCAGTTGGTCCTATTTTGAAATGCGTTTTTTACACTTATTGTCGTCTTTAGATCGCTGCTCTTTTGGTGGTCCCAGATTCTGATTGGGGGTATTTGTTTTGCCCCACATGTTGCTACTCACACACCTAATTTGCCCTGTTTTTGAAACGTGGTTTGATTTATATTCTCATCAGCCCCAGTTGTCTTTGGTGATGGTGTCTGCTGGTCCCTGTCACATTATAACAGTTGTTGTTGTTGTTGTTTATTTATAACGTCACTGTTGTTGTTATTATTTTCACCATTATTATTTGTATTATTATTATTATTATTATTTTTTATTTTCCTTGAAAAAAAATTTTATCGTATAATCATTATAACTTGAAGTTATGGAGTAATGATGGAATGTTTGGTGGAGAGATTTAACTGGATTGACTTTTGTTTTCTTATTAGCCAATCAATCAATTAATCAATTAATCAATCAATCAATCAATCGATCAACCCATTAATCAATCAACCCATCAATCAATCAGTAATAATTATTTGTTCATTCATTCGTTCGTTCATTCATTCATTCATTCAATCATTCATTCATTCATTCATTCATCCATTCTTCATTCATTCGTTCGTTCATTTAATTCACGTAATAATTAAATTTATAGTTCGTTAATAATAACCAATATAGTTTCTTTTCAAAAACTGAATAAACTTATTCTATTCCTCTTGATAAGTAAATGTTATGTAGTAAGCTTATTGATATCTATATTACTGCAATATAAAACTCGCTTTATATTTATAACAAGTACACTCACACACACAAACAAACACACTCACACACACACTCATATATATATATATATACATATATATATATATATATATATATATATATAATTATATTTATATGTATATATAGTTTATGATAAATTGAAAATTATTTGTTCTGGAAAATAAAATATCATTAACTTTTATTCAGT